CCCCAAAACCCCAAAACCCCAAAACCCCAAAACCCCAAAACCCCAAAACCCCAAAAACTATCTAATTAGTAGAATATTATAATTGATTGTTAGACAATGGCAACGTGAGAGAATCCTGAATGCTTCTCAAGGCAAAGCAAGAGCATGTTCTCTTTGTTCAAGAGCCAGGAAGTCAAATGTAATAAGTGATTTAAGAAAACTTACTGATCAGAGAGATGCATGGGCCAGGATTGGTTCTCTGGCCACCAGTTTAATTGTGAAGGAATGCAGACTCCGTACTCTCAAGATGATGTTTCAGAGATAGAAAAGAACACTCCTTTCTTAAAGTCAGGGAAGTTCCTATCTGATGAAGAGCTTGACGAAGGTAAAGCTCTGTCTATCTCTATGTTCGAATTCATCGATAGAGGTAAGAAAACACTTGGAAAAGGAGCTTATGGGGAAGTGAAATTGGTAAAACATAAGAAAAGTGGAGAATTATTCGCACTCAAAATCATTGATAAGAAAGGTACTCAAAACCAGAAACTTGACCTCATGAAGGAAGTAGAAATCCATAAAAGACTGAAACACAATAATATCGTTAGACTTGTTAATTATTTCGAAGAGGAAGGAAAACTGTACCTCATTTTGGAATATGCATCTAGAGGTTCATTATTTCACCTTATTAAGAAAAAGAATTATCTAACTGAAGATGAAGCCTTTTTCTTCTTCGTACAGGCCTGTGCTGGAATCTACTTCTTGCACACCATTGGGCTAATACATAGAGATATTAAGCCAGAGAACATGCTTATTGGTAAATAAGCATGTCCTTAAAATATGAGATTTCGGTTGGTGTGTAGCTGCTGATCATGATGTGCCTAGAAGTACATTTTGAGGTACTCTTGAGTACATGGCCCCAGAAATGATCACAAACGGTCAACACAATCACACTCTTGATGTTTGGTGTCTTGGAATCTTACTTTATGAGCTCCTTCACGGTAGGGCCCCTTTTAAAGGAGATTACCCAACGATCAAAGAACGTATCTTCAATGGTAAAATTAAATTCAAAAAGAGCTTGCCTGAAGATGCAAGAGACTTGATCAAAAGTCTTCTTCAAAGAGATGCGAATGACCGGATACCTCTCATCAAAGTATTTACTCATCCATGGGTGTTAAGACTTCAAGAGAAACATAACCTTTCACGTGAAAATTCAGTAGTACAGAAATCTCAAAAGCAACAAGACAAATATGATGATGAGGAAGAGAAAGATCTCCCTGTCAAAAAGATCCGGAGAAACCGGAAACAGCTTGATGACCCTCCCATTTCCGGTGTTGATCCTCGCCAACTAGACTCTAAACTTCAGAAACTAGAGAATATTGATGGGAAGAAAAAGAGAGTAATAGCGCCTTCGAAGCAAGAGAAATTTGGAAACATCTTTAAATCCAATCCTCAGAAGATTACTAATGAAGAAGAGTCTCATAACCTACTTGATCTTAGTGGGTTCGGTGTGTTCAAGGAGAAACAGGTGTCTAACATTGACAACAAATTTGAGAAGCTCCAAAAGATAGAAATTGGGGCTACTCGAGGAAAAGATACTGAGTCTTCTATTCCCTTTGATGAAGATGTAGAGTTCAGCCAAAAGATTAGCGAGAAACAAGAAGAAATTGATGCTGAGAAATTCCTCCAAGAAGAGCTTTTGGAGCCACAAAGCGTTCAAAAGAAGCCAGATGAGATCAAGAAATTAGATTTAAATTCTGTTAAGAAGAAGCCTGATATGGATAAGTCAAGAGATGGTTCATCTAAACCAAAGTATAGCCCAAGGCCTCAGTTCGACGACAGTAGTTCAGACGAGGAAAATATTCTCAACCAACTCGGTAAGAAGATGCAAGACACAAGCTTCATCGCTGGAAATAAAGATCTTGAGGAAGAATATCAAAGCCAAGAGAAGAAAAAGGGAGAGATCATGGATCTCATCGGAGGGATTGGTGGTGAGCTTGACACTATTGAAATTGATGATTCTGAACGACCACGCGGCAAATCAGATCTCTCCAAAAGCTATTCAGATTTAAGTACTATAGTGAAGAAAAAGAAGAATCCAGAAATCTGAAACAAACTTCTTGACGATATCTCAGGACTTTACCTTGATGATGAAGACTATGGCTCTAAGGTAATGAAGGTTGAGGAAATTCTAAAGAAGGAAAATAAAGACCAGAAGAACAAGAAAGCCCAGAATGATGAATTCTTTGGACTCTTATCTTCTACAGATAAGAAAGAGGATAAAAAGCTACCTTTAAAGAAACCTGACCCTAACATCCTCGATTTTGATGTCAGTGACAACGAAGATTTCCTTAACAGAGAAGTAAAATTTTTGAAGATGGACAAGTCTCAGCTTGGAGATGACCTTTCAGACAACAAGCCTGAGCAGGACCCAAATAGGTTCAAAAGTAAGAACATCTTCCTTAAAGAGGTACCCAAAGATAATAATCTCAAGATGTTTGAAGATTCTGAAAACGATGAATTCCTTGACAGTGAGAGTGGAACTGGAAGGGACCAAATAGAGGAAAATAAAAATGACTACCAAAAAGAAGTCAACCATCCCAAATTTTTAGAAGAAGAGCATCAACCAAATTTCCTGGGACAAGACCACACGCAGCATGTCGAAGAAGATGAGTTTGAAGAAAGATTCAAACGAAGGGATAATAAAGCAGATCCTGAGAAGAAGGACAAAATTGATGATGAACAACCACAAAATTTTGATTTTAGTCAACCCAAGGAATTGGCCCATGAGTATAAGAAAGAATCACCAGTAGAAGAAGAGAAAGGATTCGGCTTTAATGAGCTAAAAGCTCATCCTTATGAAGAGCCAAGAGGGATCGGTTTTGAAGACCCCAAAGGATTTGATTACAGAAATTCTGGCAAACACAGAGATAATAGTCCTGAAGAAGACAAAGAAGATGAGCCTTTAAATTTTATGAAAAAGTACCAACTTGATGAGTCGAGTGATCACATGGAAGACAAAAATTCACCTGTTGATATGAGGAAGAAAGATGATGACATAATCTTTGGCAAAGAGAGAAGCGATGGATCCAGTAATGACTCTGATAACTCGGGAGATGATTACCTAAAAACTGAAAGTAACGTCAGAGATAAGTCACCAGAGTTCTTAAAATATGGAAATGAAGATAGCTATGTTCCTCCAAAATCAGGGATGGGGATAGCTGATGATGAATCATACCCTGGAGAATTTAGTCATAGGTCTAAGGAGAAGTCCTCTCAAATTGAATCATCAATAAAAATCCCTTTAGAACAGGTGAATGAGTTTGATTATCCACTCAAAGACATTAACAAGGAGTCTTCAGATGAAAGTCTTCAGATAAAGAGAAAGAATGAGCAACCTGGGGAGTATAAGCCAATAAATAACTGGAATCATAAGGTGAAGAAGAATGCTATCAAGAATAAGAAACCTTCTCAATTATCTATGCAGAAGAAGCAAAGTAGCCTTTTAGATGAGTTCAAAATTGATATGAAGTCAAACAGCATTCAATTCGATGAAAAAGATTATCTCCAAGACCCTGACTTTAGGAAAATAATTGAGGTGGAAAACACCAGAAAACTCAATGAACTCTTAGATGATGACAAGGATGCTGATCTTAATGAACTAGAAATTCTTTGGAAAGATACTGAAGCAGTCAAAGAAAATCCAGGCAATATTTTTCAGAATGAAAGGGAAATTTTGGTCAGATTCTTCAATAATAACCCTGAAGGTATACTAAAACTCAAGGATTACTATGATAAGCGTAACAATAAGATCAGGAAACTTGAAGAAATGGAGGACAAGGAGAGTTACAAGCAGGAAATAGAAATAGAAAAGATCGAAAGAAAATCTCTCCTTAAATGAGTTCGCCGCCCTCAAAATCCACACCAAGCGAACAAGAATGATGCCTTAAAATCCAATCTCTTTAAGAACAGAAACAAGAAGTTGCAGCCTCGCCAAGACCCGCGTGGCAATATTGATGACGAAGATTATTCCAGTAAGCACAAAAAGAAGGCAAGCGATCAGAAAATGTCGAAACAGATCAAAGAGATTAATGACAACATAGATGACTGGAAATAGAAAGAATAAGAAACTTAATAGGCAGAAAGAGAAGAAAGTAAGACTTCCTGAAAAGAAGAAAAAGAATCATAGAGAGTTGAACGACTCTATTGACAGAAGTCCTCCAAGAGTCAGGAAGAGCAGACTTATCCAACCCAAGCCTAAGGAAGAGAAAACCTTCTGGGCAGGAGTCTGGAATTTCCTGCCCTTCGGCTCATGTGCATCTAATCGTAATAACTACGCAAACGAGTAAGTTTACTTTTGTCCATTTCTGATCAGCTCTTATAGAGAAGAGAATGACTATATCAGCGATTCCTCAGATGATTCTGACTACCAGGAGAGTAAGAAGAGAAAGGGCAGAAAAAGGAGATAATCTTGGTAATTAATACTCAAATTAAATATGATAAAAAATAAACCAGTTGTTGGGGTTTTGGGGTTTTGGGGTTTTGGGGTTTTGGGG